CTATGATGTAATTGGAGGCACTGACCTTCAATGTTGCATGGCAAGGATTGCTTGTTTTTACTTCACATTCACAGATTTCAATTTCCTATGGCAATTTATTGTACTGTAAGTATACGCCAATGAGCCAGCGAGCAACCTTTTCTCTGGAAGTTTTTAAAGAGTAAAGGTGGTTCAAGAATTTAAGAAAAATTCAGTGGATTGATCTTTTACCTAATACCATGATACGAGCTCACCCAAATCATCATTTGATACCAGTACAATGTAACTGATCATGACCGGCGACACATGTGTTTATGGCTAAGTGGATAAGAGGCAGTGCTTTTGGGGGGGTGTCTAAAGATAAAGTGGCCTCAGGATTCTACATTCTTCCTCTCGGTCTCTGGACCACTGTACCTCTAAATGAGGAAGCAAGAGTGTAGCCATGCAGGCTGTAATTGTTGTTAGGGCCGAGCTCGACCAGCACTTTACCTGGGGTGACTTCTAGGGGTACCCGGGAGTGCAAGTATTTTTGTCCAGGAAGCACTGAACGCAAATGACCGGCCTTATAGTTTTTGTTCATTTCAGTTGGAGGGGGTTGAGGGCATCAGAGGGCACAGACGTCTTTAGGGGAATTAAGTACATCTACACGGAAGGTCAATTGTATTTATCTACAAACTGGCTTGCTACTTGTATGTACATTACTCTACGTTACCTGCCATCCGTTGATTGGCTGCTCATACTTGACCTGTCATCAAGGGGAACCACTTCAAGTGTGGACACAGCGCTTTCCCTTGGTTAATGGCCGCAACCCTTGGACTGTGTGCAACACACACGAACGTACGTGACAAAGTTTTGAGTGATGGTGCACAGACAAAAGATTTTGAAGAAGAAGAAGTGTGTACCGAACTTACTCAGGTATTGTTTTACATTTTCAATCAAATCTACAAGGAAAAGAATGATGAGCATTTATGAAATTACCCTGAACCCGGTGTCTGACATCGTTCATTTTCGTCGAGCACAGACTTATTTTAATCAGTTAATTCGAAATGAACAAACTCACGTACATGTGGTGCTTGGTGGCTATATCTTACCAGGTTTCTCCTGATAATGAATGGAAACACAAGCTTTTTTCAGTCCGAGGTCAAGGGAGTCAGGTATAGAATTTAGGCCTAGAGGTGGTTTTGGGAGTGCTTTTGGAAGCAGTATCCGTTCTTGTTGGATGTGAAGCATTTCAGTAGCGTGAAATTCATTCCCCTGCAGATGGTCAGATGCTATGCTGTATGAAATAAAACAATCCTGGAGTTATTTCGGAGGTATTCTTTGAAAGGAAAAAAAACTGCTTTGTGGTATTTGCATAAGGAAATTTCCGAATAAAAAACACAAACCATGTAAACATTGCACGCAAAAATTAATGAATAGAAGTCAAGGAATGCATTTTTAAACATACACCTCATTCATCCCTTGAAAATTGAAACCCAACTGTATTCAAATTGGTAAGGTTTTTCACCGGTGGGAAAAGATCTGGAAGCTCAAACATTGACAATTATTTCTATCAATATACCACCCTATTTGTAAAGGGAACTTCCCATAATTATCGCACTGACTTAGACTTATTTGCCACTATGTACATGTGAACTGCATCATGAGAAATCGAAATACTCGTTCAGTTGGAATGATATGCATGTAACCTATGAAAGTTATGGAATGTTCTTACACCGCAAGACAATGTTCTTACACAGCAAGACAACGTTCTTACACAGCAAGACAATGTTCTTACACAGCAAGACAATGTTCTTACACAGCAAGACAATGTTCTTACACAGCAAGACAATGTTCTTACACAGCAAGACAATGTTCTCACACAGCAAGACAACGTTCTCACACAGCAAGACAATGTTGTGCAATTTAACATAGCAAATAAAAAGAAAGAGAAACAAACATGAAGATGTGCCAACCCGGCTCAGTGTGCAGTATTCTCATGGAATCTATATTGGGTACCTATACATGTATATTAACTGTTTATCACCAAACATTACTACCAACATTTTAATTTGTTATTAAATAGCTGGTATTTCACTTCAATTGACGTTGAAAGCCGCATACTCATTGTCAGTTTTGATCTTAAATAAGATACACATTAGTTTGAAGCTTCAACTTCATGGCTGCACTAGGGCTGTCCAATTGACTGATCATATATTCAGTTTTACTCTACAGCATATTATTGCCCCAGTATAAAACCATGCAGGTATATTTGTGAGCACGGGCGTAATTCCCCGGGGGTGGGGGATATATAACCCCCCCCCCACACACACACACACTTTTTGACGGGGTGGATGGGCTACTGAATTATCCCTCACGTTTTCGTGGTGAGAAAAATGAAGGCGGATTGTGAAGTATTATTCGGACTTTTCAACAACCAAAATGTATTCAACAGCACACATAAAAGAACAACAAAACCCATAAATAAAAGCAGTTCTGAAGTAAGATTCTGCATGAATATAATACATGTTACAGATGTACAAGAACATCTGTAGACTTATCATGAAAAGTTGCCTCCTATAGTTCCATACGGTGTCAGCATTCCCCCTCCCCGCCACCACTTTTCAAATTTTCACGGCTCGGGGAAGTTATTCCCCCAATACGGGCGTTTCACAATAGTGTGCCTCCAAGAGTTTGCAACGCGTTGACCAATCACAGTGTGCGAAATCTGTCGACTGAATGTGCGTTTGGAAAGGGTTGACAGATTTCACGCACTGTGATTGGTCAACGCATTGCAAACTCTTGGAGGCGCACTATTGTGAGTCGCTCGTATTCCCCATCCCCCAATTTCCGGTGCAAAAAAAAGCCACTGTGTATGTGTTAACCATATGCACAAGATGCACGGACTAGCCTTTATTGGAAAAAAAGCAATTACTGCTCAGATTGTCAACGATGCCTGTGTCCCTTATGGCAAACAATGAGGTAAATCTTTTTCAAATTGACCATGTTTGATGGATAGGCTAGATAGAAGTGAATTAAATCTTTGCACAATAAATTGTCAGTGCTGCAGATATTAACTTTACCCAACACAACCAAGAGCCATAATTCAGTGCACCTTTTATCATAATGGTTCCAACGAAAATGTTTTTGTTAAAGTAATGTTTAAATATTAAGTTACTTTATAAAAATTGCATATTACCTTCCAAGTTTGTACTCTTATCAGAAAGTACTACTTTTTTATTTCTTTATACCCAGCATATCTTGTTTTTGATACTTTCACTTTTGTTACAAAGATTGTATCTTGACATATTTTGGTTCTTGAGCACGATCAATTTCTTCTAAATCCTAACATCACGACAAAGCTGAGCCAGGACTGCTGGTCATCAGTTTGGCAGTATTCCACAAAGCTCCTCTTGGGTCTTTAAAGTCATGTAAGTTGAATTCGTTACCTGACAAACTTATCGCAAGACTTGTTTTTCATTCAGCAGGTACAGCCATCATTGCTTGGTAGAAGATGTCAAAATGGACCACTGGATTGTTAAGAACACCGTCTGCTGCCAGTACATGGAAGGAAATTAACATGGAAATGCGGGGAATAAATTTAATTATTTTGAATATTCTAAACATCAATTTCACATCTCCCACATCTGCATCCCCATTTCCCAGTTGTGCAATATCAAGATCGTGTTGTAATTGTAATACTCAATCTGTGACAACTTTTTCTAACGCCACGAACTAATTCGATTAGATGCCATAACCGCAGTGGCACCTTTATCACAAGCACATTCTTAAAGAACTTGACGCGTGCGTGCATTTGGCAAATCACGACACCCTGTTGGTCGAAGAGGCATTTGACGCGTGCGTACCACCTGTCCACGAGCGTTGTGCCACCGCAGTAATGGCCTCTAATTCTGGCCGTCGAATTACTCTATATAATAGGATGAGCCAAGAACACTGGCAACACTGAGCAGCGAATTGACAGGTTAAAATGTTGATGTGGATGATATCTTGATTAAAGAAGTCAAGGGTTTACCAAAAGAAACGAAAATTTACAGATGAGTAGCACATTGTAGTGAATTATTCACAGATGTAAATTCATCCAAATTAAAATGATGAGACGAATAAAATGGCAGGATTGTAAGGATGATAACATTTACAGAACTCCATAGATTAAGAGAAATACCCTGGACTGTACAATACAATATATACAAGGAAGGGTCTGGAAAACATGCCAAGGATGGAAAGTTCAGGTGGGCAGAAAAAACAGTCGAGTGGCCATAAGAGTGATTTTTAATGACCAAAAGAAGTGACCCAAAACTCCTGTGACTGGAAACCTGAGCTGGAAAAGTGGAGATTAAGCAAACAAAACCATACCGAGGTGAAGAAAGCTGAGAATATTTAGGCCAAGAAGGCTGCAAAGAAAAGGTTTCAAGAAGTGACACTTGAATGTGTCACTAAAAGGGACAGCCGAGACCCAGATTAACCACGAGAAATCAACATTCACATGCTAAGTAAAGGTTCGGTTCTACTAATCAGGACGAAAATTCTGCAAAGTACACTTATCAAGTACTTGGAAAGGTTTAATTGATAAGAGCTACAGAGAGTAGTGTACTAGTACTCGCGTGGACATGTGTACATGTCATGTGCAAGACTGTTGGCTCAGCTTTGAAACGAATTCATGTTCATACATCCTGTTGCTACCTAACTTGTCGTGGGTTGGGGGGGGGCTATGCAGCCCACGCAATGAAGCTATGGACTGGCATGGTATTTGCTAAGTGAGGTAAAAAACGTTCAGTGGAATAGTTTCCAAGTGTATTTTCAACAGCCTCAACAGAATGCAGCAGGAGGCACCGGAGAAGTTTTTCATTATCACCCTTAGCCAGCCTATTGCTAGCCATTAGTCAAAGCGCACGTGACGCCCCGGATAATAAATTGCAAACACCAACAAGACCCCTTCGGAGTGGCGAATTAAGCTCCCACTGGTCTTTTTCGTATTACCGCTGTACTAGCATGCACGATGCCACGCCCCAACACCCCACTACAATTTCTAGACCTATCGGAATTTAGATTTAGATCTGTTGCTGATCTACCGTGTTTAGCAAACTATTTGTCAACTTGCTCAATTTTAGCAGTTCAAATTCTGGATTTTTCAACCACCAGTTCATTGTTGTTATCTCCAGAGTCATGAAACCCTACTGCTGTGCAACTGCATACTGCTCTCCGTCCGATGTCTGCAAAGTGAAGTTCTTACACGACACAAGAAACCAAGAACAAAGTTTGGAAAAACTTAAGTATAATTTTTGATCCTATAATCTTCACCATATCCTATGTGTGGTACATGTTTGATATCCAAGTCTGACCTCATAAAAACATGGGTGGTCATTGTCAAGCTAGACAAGTTTTAAGACTACCATTTGTAAAAAACTGGCCAGCCTGAATTTTTCCCTGGGAACCGGCGCACAAAACATACCCGAGGTTCCAAACAAAATTAACAGTAGTTCACATGTTGTTTTAGCTCGAACTTCCACCGTTGCAGTGCTTAAAAACATGCAGGACGCCCTCTATTAGCATTCACAAGTACTAGCGCAAGTTGTTGGCCCAAATAAAAGCCGACCCCTAATGAGCAAGAAGGTTAATACATACACTCTGATCTGTTTGATTAATTATTTTACCTGGAGATTCCACAGATGTGGAACCCATATGAACATGCATATGACCTAAAATACACCGCATGAATTGCAGACGCAACATCACATTTCCAGAAAGCACAGATTGTCAACGATGCCTGTGTCCCTGACGGCAAACAATTGGGTGAATCTTTTCCACATTGACCATGTTTGATGGATATAAACAGAAATGTTAACAGAATGAATTATCAGTGTAGCAGATATTGAGTTTACCCATCACAACCAACAGCCACAATGCAGTGCACCTTTGATCATAATGGAGAATGTTTTTGTTAATGTTTAAATATTAAGTTACTATATAGAAATTGCATATTATCGTCCAAGTTCTTACTCTGATCAAAACGTACCTGTTTTAAATTTGTTTCTTCCCAGCATATCTTGTTTATGATACTTTCACTTTTGTTATAAAGATTGTATATTGACAATTTTTTTATTCTTGAGCACAATCAATATCTTCTCAATCCTAACATCACGACAAAGCTGAGCCAGGACTGCTGGTCATCAGTTTGGAAGTATTCCACAAAGCTTCTCTTGGGTTTTGTGAATGTCTTCAAAGTCATGTAAGTTGACTTCGTTGCCTGACAAAATTATTACATGACTTGTTTTTTGCCATTCAGCAGGTACAGCCACCAAAGCAGCCATGTGATGTGGAACCCATATGAACTTGACTCTAAATACGACCCATGAACTGCAGACACAACATCACATTTCCAGAAAGCTCCTATAAATGCATGTAGGTCAGCATACACGGGGATCGAATTCTACGTGATCATGTCCATCTCGACCCACATCGTTTGAGTTTCCTTGAGGCGGTTTCAGCCTTGAAGTTGTCTGGAGAAAAAGTCAAGAGTGCCGTTAGATCGCAAGAGTCCCTTAATTTTGTATCGGCTTTATACAGCTAGACGTGACCTTAGTCATGAGGTCAAGTGCGTCCAGGCAGGGGTGTCCCAAGGGTCAGACTGATTGATGTCCTCTATTACTGCGGTACAGAAGACTGAAATGAAGGAGACATCTTTATCTGGCATCTGACAATCAGTCTCGTTGGGCATATTGTTATATTACTAATGATTCACTAAACACAGTCTGACTCAAGTATAGTTCGACAGCACACAGTACTCATTTGTGTTCTGAAACAATATGCGCTTTGACAGGTTTGGGCGTAACAAAAACTTGCATATTGGGTCGAGTATTTTAAGTTAAAACACAAGCCTCTGACCCTTTTTATGTAAACTGATAACGTGAAGTTCTACGCTTGCTGAATGGTCTCACAGGAATTTGACTGTGACATCATGCGTCGTAAACACGACGTAAAGAAGACCGCTTTAATTTTACGAGTTTTATATAGGCGCTCTCCGAACAGTGGAAATGTTGCCAACCTACTGCGACTGCATCACTTGAATTCATTACATCAACATCCTTCGTGAGGAAACAACATCAGATGATCAATGGCCATGAGAAGAAGACTTTGAAGTATTGCCCAAAATATCAGTTTCCATGGAACGAGGATATCAGCCACAAAATATCTGCATGGTATGTTTTATCGCTCCAACCAAAGTCTAACCTAAGTACCGTCATCTACCCAATCACAACACAAACCTAGTCGAGAAGAAGGTTGGTAATGTATCTATGGGTCGTACATGTAGTCTGAAGTGTTGAAACTTGATCAAGTTTATGTTTTGAACGCCAATTTAAGATTGGGAGATCGGTCAACATCTTAGGGATGGGGGGGAGTAACCACACATTCCAAATAAACAGAGGTGCCAATCTTGGTTCGGAAAGAATTGATTGGCATTGCCTTCGAGGCACGTTTGTTGGTCTGTACTTGGATGCAGTATGAGAGCGCCCTCTAAAGCATTTGGGTTTAGCTATTAAATACAGTCATACTGTCAGTATGACTGTATTTCGTTAGTTAGTGTTAGTTTTTTTTTTACAATTAAACATTATACACCAAATTTTTTTAGCATTTAACCATGTTTACAACAGAGACCTATTCAGATTTAGGGTTGGGGAGAAAACTAGGATGAAAAACGGCAGTCATTTTTTTCATATGTAGAAGAATCCTCAACCCCCCCGGGGAAGTACCGCTTCTATAAAGTTTAAATACGATTCCTTGACAAACTGATTGCCCCCCCGCAGGATACCGGTACCTCACTGTTTACAACCTGATAGCAATCGGTTTATGGTAACTGCAAATGTACTCTTCTTCAGTGTATGAAAACTCTTCACACTCTCCATTTGGTTAAATGCATTGAAAAGACCACTTTCAAAAATTTTCAAACTACTCATTCTTGCTTGGACAACTGCAGAGCGTTGCTGCTGTGGTGTCATCTAGGGAACACATAGTTTATTGTGTAGATTTTTCTGTTCGAATTGTGAACCCTAAATTAATTACCAAAAACATTTCTAAGAAAGTGAAGGGGTTGATGCTTCCTTATTCCTTTGCAAAAAACAAACACCAAAACAACCCCCCCCAAAAAAAAGGATAAATTAGGAAGGAAGAAAAATTCAGTCCAGCTAAATTTACAAACAATGCCGTTATTTTTGGTGTACAAACCAACGTAAAATTGAGGCTTTCATCCTGGGACGACATCACAGTTTTGCTCATGAATATGGAAATGTCTTTAGCATAAAAACCAAACAGGACTTTAAAATACCCTTTGAAGTAGTGGAACAAAAGTTGAAAATTAGGTTAACTGAGACACAAAGGCGTAGTTGAAAGGTCTGTATTAAAACAAATTGATTGCAGCTACCTTTAATCTCTCAACACAGGTTTAGAATGTCCACAAATGTTAAATCCTCAACCACCACTGCTAATAGACGTGGCAAAAAATCGCATGATTTTCAATAATTTACTACATCTTGCTACA